GTCGCGCAACTCCTCGTGAGATCGGTCTAATAATCCGCGAGTACGGAGATACTGGGCTCGTATGCAGCGGCGGATCTAGAGGGGGGGGGGGGGGGGGGGTGGGGGGCGTCCGGATGTCCTGACCCCCCTCTTGGTTTCTGTATGGGTAAAAATTTAGGGCGTGGAAACGGGAAAACGAAAACGTCCTAAACATATGGTACGCTGACCAACACCTGACCCCCCCTTCTAGAAATTCCTGCATCCGCCCCTGCTCGTATGAACAGTTTGAGAGGGGTGCATCATTTGGCGTTTCGCGTGCGCGGTTTGCAAGTTTAATTTGCGTCAGGGGGGACTGGTGGCCGAGTGGGCTAAAGCGCACACCCAGTTCGACGCGCGTGGAGCGAAGGCTCGCGCTGCAGAACCCAAGGATCCTGGGTTCGAGCCCCACCCCTGCCCGTTTCGATCTGGATGAGCATCGTACCGGCGTGCGGTTGTGTATCACTACTGCGTGGTGCACGTTAAAGACCCCAGGCTAGCGGTTGTACTGCACTGGCTAAACTGCTCATCTACAGCGTGTGACTTGTCGCAACTTTAATGGTAGACCAACTACACACTGTATAAATATCCCCACAACCCCCAAATTGTTTTAATTTGCGTCAAAAACCAGCATTTGGCTCTCGCTTTCGCCCCCCCCCCCCCCCCCCCCCAAAAAAAAAAAAAAAGAAAAAAACGAAGGTTTGGATTCGCCCTTGCGTTGGTCAGGACGGCGCGTCTTCGGGCGAGCGCGCACGCGCGCACGCGCGCACGCATGCATGAGCGCACTCTGGCAGTGAAGTGACAACCAATCGAAATGCAGGTTCGTCTTTCCTCTGCGCGTCGTCAGCAGCAGCCTTCTTTTCGGTTGAGAGGTCACCTTCCTCGCGTCGGAAACAGGCGGAAAGTTCATAGACGCAGCCATACTTGTAAGCAAGCAGAGAGCATCTGCGCCTGACGGCGAAGAAACGCGCAGCCCGAACTAGTGCCCTCCACCGATTTACCGGAAGACAGGAGCGCCATATACTACGTCTCATCGCGTTTTCTCGCGCCTTCAGAAAAAGTTGAAAATATCCAACTTTCTTATGCACTCCCGGAAGACGCGCGGAATCAGCGCGACGTCACAAAATACGCAATTTCCGGGAGCCACACGGCCTAGCGCGCACAAAAACGCATTGGTTTGCATCGCACTTAATAAAGCGCAATCAGTAGACATGTGAAATGTGCGCTTGAAGTGCTCTGATACAATGTCTGAGATATATTTTTAGCTAGGTTGTACTTCTCGGAGCACCGAAAGAAGTTACACCCTTCCCACAGCCAACCACGGCATCATTTTTGCCACCTGAAAGTTCTAAGAGGCGCCCTGTAACACTTATAAGGATTCCTGTATTGTTAATCACGTTACAAAACTACCTGTAGGGAATTAGACTGGTCTTTGTCTTTCATACATGCTAACGTACGACACTGAGTCAAGCAGAACTCCTTACACGTATATACGTCTAAGACGGCATTTCTAAGGTGCTGGAGGATCTAGCAAGCCAAGCCAACTATTTGTGCGACCAGACGTAGGCTTCGCTACTGGTGCCAATGACGTAATGGCTAAGCCTGACCCCGCCACCTCAAATCACCTTCGTGAGTCTCCAGAGTCCTCTGGGACCTGGTGTCCATGCCCAACAGCCGGCAAGTCTTCTGCACGACGGAGGCCAACAATCGGCTCATTCCCCCTGTACCACGTGACCTTCAAGAAGCTTCTGAGGCAACTTTCATTTGAGCACGTATTGCAACACGACAAAAAGCCAACCATTGTTCTTTTTCTATGCAGCTGTCGTAAAGACACACGCAATGGCGAAAAGCCGCTAGAAAAAGCGTCGGAAATGTTTGCCCTAAGGAGGCAAACAGATACGAAAATGGCCCCTTTGGACTTGAAAGCTATATTTCGCAATAACATTGCTGTTTGTTAAAAAAAAAAAAAAAAAAAAAAAAAAAACATCTAAGCTTCGCGGACGTTGACGCCTTTACACTGCCCGTCACGTGGTGTAAGCTACTGCTGCCACTGATGCAAGATTTAAAAGATGTTAACGTTGGAGTAGATAGTCAACAACGTTCCTGGAAAGCTCTTGAGTGCTTGTTCGAGAGCCTGCGTCTTGCAGAGGCGTTGAGCGCTCGCTGAAGGCAGCGCCTTCTGGAACTGTCTCGTTTTTTTTTTTTTCTTTCTCGATGCAACTCCGGCGAACGTTTCTGTGCCATCGAGCTTTCCTTTGAATTTTCCCTTCGGTGAAACGGTCACCGTGCGCTCCCGACATCTCATATCTGATTTTTTTTTCTCGTGTATTATATTATTTTTGCAGAAGCAAGGAGAAAAATAAGAGGTCCTGTAGGAATTGAGCGTTGCTCTGCATCTTGCGATTAGATTGCTTTGTCGGAGACACAAATACAGGGGATTTGAGTCGGTGCCTGCAGTTCACTGGAATCGATAAAGGATCGATGCGACAACTGTAGAAGCCGTTTTTTATTTCGCTTTTCACTCTTATATATATATATTGTATATTTTTATCTCGGTCACGCGAAGGCTGACAGTTTCCGCATAATATGTTCTTTTTCTTTCTTTCTTTTTTTTAAATATAATAGCATTTTATAAAAAAAATTTCCGAAAATCTGAAATAAAAGCTTAAAGGGCAACTCCGCTCAATTCCGAAAAATTTAGGCTTCCATGTGACTCACATTCACAAAGTACTACTAAACAACTCTACGTCTTTGGATTCGCGAAATGTGGAATATTATTCGTGTAATCCTAATTTAAACATCAGCAGATACCGAAACCGAAACTTCGGTTGCGTCAGGCAACATTGGTCTCGGGTCGTCAGAGTCATGGCACGTCACGTCGAACCACGTGGTCTTGTGACGTTCGGGAGGGAGCGAGAAACAGGACACGCGACGAGGGCAGGTCTTTTTTTTTTTTTTTTTTTTTTGGACGCGGGCAGGTCGTTTTGCATGGCGTGGACGGTGATGGCCCGGGGAGAGGGGAAAGGGGAGAAAACGAAAGAGGAGAAGGGGAGCGGACTAGCGCATCCGCGTTACGGTGATCACGTGAACGCCCGGTCAGCCAACACCGGGAGGATAGTGAAAAAATTGTAAGGGTGCAGGCGAGCTGGTGGAAGTTAACCATAGTTTTGCTTAACCCGAGGAGAAACTCATGACGTCATCGTTAAATTTTACTCTGTGAAGTAAAAACAAGCAAAACGTGAGAATGACGTACACATGCCTCTGACGTAGTGGTTCAACGTTGGCCGCTCCAACTCCGTGGCATTGACTGCGCTGATGATTGCGCCTCGCGCCGCACGCTAGAGTTGGCAGATTTCGGCGACTTGGCTCGCTTGAAGGTTTGCTGGCCAGTTTATTAAATATATAAACGGAATTAGATCGTAATATTTGACATGGGGTCTTCCTATATGATACTGAAGAGGGCTACATAGTTTTCTAAATATCAAAAATGAAGCGGAGTTGCCCTTTAAGATCGAAGTTGCTGTAAAAAAACTTCATTTCTCGTTTTTTTTCTGTATCATAAGCAGATTAATATTTTAAAAAACAAAAAAAAATTGAAAGCCGTTTACGATTCCCTGTAACGCCGAATTAGAGCGCAGCTCTTGAGGAGGAGGAGAAGGAGCTACGGAGAGGAGGCTATGCCCCTCCTCCTCTCCTGCTCGGCTCCCGTTTAGGGAAAAATGTTCCGCTAGATCTAGCGGGGAAATTTTTCCGCTATACTTAGCGGGGAAAGTTTTTCACTAGATCTAGCGGGGAAATTTTTCAGCTAGATTTAGCGGGGAAATTTTTCCGCTAGATTTAGCGTGGAAATTTTTCCGCTTGATTTAGTGGGAACAATTTTCCGCTAAATCTACCGGGGAAATTTTTTCGCTAAATCTAGCGGAAACATTTTTTCGCTAAATCTAGCGGGAAAACTTTTCCGCTAGATTTAGCGGGGAAATAGTTCCGCTAGATTTAGCGGGGTAATATTTCCGCTCGATTTAGCGGGGACATTTTTCCGCTAGATTTAGCGGGGAAATTTTTCCGCTATATTTAGCGGGGAAATCTTTCCGCTATATTTAGCGGGGAAATTCGTCCGCTACATTTAGTGGGGAAAATTTTCTGCTAAGAAATTTACCCATAATGCACCGCGCGGTTACGCCGACGGCGACGGCGACGGCGACGCCGCTCAAGCCGGAAACGGGCGCCTAAGAGCTGCGCTCTAAAATTTAGTTTTCTATGCTATATTTTGCCTAACCTCGCGTGCATAATATTTGCATCTGTGTTATGTGTCCCAATTTGATCAATTGTCTCGAAATTCATTTTCATCTTACGGTAGGCGTTAGCTCTACCGTTACAATTCAGTCCGAACATGTTATAACTGCCACGCAAGTTCGTGTAATAGTTTTTATAATTTGTGTTTTCTTAGCGTTTTTTATCTCTTCCCGTACGGAGGAGAATACTTGCTTTTCTAGAAAAAAATTTAGAGAAATTAGCCTGCACAAATAGACGACTTGGAAAAATCCTTGCGTGTAGTACTGCGCGCGTTGCATTATGGGACCTTTTTGGCCATAGAGAGGAGTTGCATATGGTTTCGATTTCTATTGCCGCGTTGACAAAGTAGTGAATTTCAGTACTGCATTTTTTTCCTTCTTTTTATGCTGTCTTTTCAAAAATATGTTTAAAAAAAACAACCACAATCCTGGATAAAACCCTGCTCCCGAACACGTCCGAGGGATCTGCAAAAAGAGGTATTCAGTATCCGTATCAATAGGGAGTTTTAGTAGATCGTTTTCAAAGGCCCGCTACCGCTACGAGCGCGCGCTTCAGGGCATGCATCGAAGTGGCAGAGCGAGCCCCCGCTACGATTAGCGTGGCGTGAAAACACGATCTACTAAAACTCTTTAATATTCAGTATAACACCAAAACCCTTTTGCATCAGGGCGATCGCTCCCAAAGGAACGTTGCACTTTAGGTGGCGCAAGCTACCGCCTATTGCGAATTGTACCACTTATTTTGTTTGTCCATTCGCCGCACTCACTCTTTTGGCTTGGCTTTTAGCTATGGCTTCGTCTTCGCTTCTCGCAGTTTTCCGCCTCCGGCTTTTCCGTGTTTGCCAGTGTTTCCTCTGCGCGATTTGCGCGCCTTTTCTACGTTTGTACGGCTTCGGCCACTGCATCTTTCGTCGATTCCGTCGTTTTCATGGTGATATACAGCGTGTATATTCCATCTCGTTTGCGCAAGATTTATACTGGTTCTTCGTTATGGCAGAAGCAATGGACGTAGACTCTGAAGTGACTCAAAAGCGTAAGGATTGCGTACCCTGGGTCGAAAAGTACCGTCCGGCCAAATTCAACGAGATCGTGGGCAACGAAGAGACCATTGCCCGACTCGAAGTGTTTTCCCGCGAGGGCAACGTCCCGAACGTCATCCTTTCGGGCCCTCCCGGAGTGGGCAAAACCACCACCATCCTGTGCCTGTCGAGGATACTTCTCGGCCCTTCGTTCCGCGACGCCGTCCTGGAACTCAACGCCTCGAACGACAGAGGCATCGACGTCGTTCGCAACAAAATCAAGATGTTCGCTCAGAAAAAGGTGACTCTTCCACCAGGCAAACACAAGGTCATCATCCTCGACGAAGCGGACAGCATGACAGAAGGAGCCCAACAGGCTCTGCGCCGTACCATGGAAATCTACTCAAAGACGACGAGGTTCGCCCTGGCCTGCAACACGTCCGATAAAATCATCGAACCAATCCAGTCCCGGTGCGCCGTTGTCAGATTCAGCCGGCTGTCCGACGCGCAGGTGCTGGCCAAGCTTCTGGACATCTGCAAGCAAGAGGACGTTAGTTACGCTGAGGACGGCCTCGAAGCGCTCGTCTTCACGGCACAGGGGGACATGCGCCAAGCCATCAACAATCTCCAGTCGACCTTCGTCGGCTTCAGCCACGTGAACAGCGAGAACGTGTTCAAGGTATGCGACGAACCGCACCCCTTGCTCATCAAGGACATGCTGCAGCACTGCGTAGAGGGCGAACTGGACGAGGCGTACAAGATTATGCTGCATCTTTGGAAGCTCGGTTACGCCGCGGAAGACATCATCAGCAACGTGTTCCGCGTCTGCAAGAGCCACACGATGCCCGAATACCTCAAGCTAGAGTTCATCAAGGAGATTGGGTACACTCAGATGAGGACGCTGCAGGGCGTTCAGTCCCTGCTTCAAATGGCAGGCCTCTTGTCCAGGCTCTGCATGAAGACGAAAGTTATCAAGACCTGATTGCCTGTGAATTGTGCTTGGACATTTTTATTTTTGTTCGCGAGCCTGATACCTACACAGGCCCAGGCACAAAACCCTGGTGAGTGCCTCCAGTAAAAAGGTGCATTGTAAGCGAAGTGATGGTTGTCACCAATTTATTGGATAACATTGTTTTGTGGATGTGTTCACCCCAGGTATGCTACAATGAAAGCAGCCAAAGTGGAGCTTTGTGTGCCTAATACTTGCAGCAACTTATGCAGAGCACAAGTTTGTCTGCTTCTTGCACTGGGGTTGCAATGATGTCAGAATGCCGAGCACTTTTTGGCTGATTGAAAGAAATAGTGGATAGACCTCAAGGCCATCTAACATTGAGGTCTACCCATTCAATGCCAGTTGGAGCTCGGCGTCGTGACGTCAGCACAACTCCTGCGCAAGAAGCAGACGACTTGCCCTCCGCATTCGTGTCTGGATTTTGCTAACCATACTGTTGCCAACAGAAAACAATGAAACAGTGATCGCGAGTCTACCTATAGTTTGCGACAGGTTAAGAGATTGAGGGAAGCTCCTCCCACCTCTTTCCACTTCAGCCGAGCGAATGCTGGAGTCCAGCATTCCCTCTGCTAAAGTGGAAAGAGGTGGGAGCGACTTTCCCCAAACTCTTAATCTCACAAACAATAGACTTTTGTGTCTTGTATCCAGCAAGTCGTTCCACACGCAGGGATCTGCAAGCTTACATCTAGGCTGGAGGTTGGCAACCTTTCAGTGGTGGGCCGAGTAGTCACGAAGCCGACGCGTAAGGGGCCGTACGGCAAGCCGCAAAGGTGGCAGGCAGGCAACAAAAAGGCAAACAGAAAATGAAGGCGCTCCCTGCCCAAAATTAGGGATGACGACTAATGTCAATTGGAGGTGCTTCTTGTTCCTGTCTAACCCCATTTGAGGTCAAAACTGCAGTGACTTGTGTCGCACATCAGTCACCCACTTGCACTTGAATGCACTTAGCCAAGTAAACCCCCGTCTTGTACAACGCTTTGTGATCTACCCCATGCAGGTCTGCTCGACTATTCTTGGTCAAATGGGATGGTGTAACTGGTATGCAGTCCGACAAGCCAGATTCAGGCATGAAGCACAGCATGGATAGAGCGAGTGCTTGAACACTGCTCTGCTGCCATCCATCTCGAACTACACATCACAACTGGGGTTGCGTGTTTTCGGGGTTCATTTTTCTTCGAATTCGAGGATGCTTCTCTAGGTATATTTTTCCCCAGACTGTTTTTCAGCATCCATTTTTGGTGTTGGACGATAAATCTAGGTTTGTTGGGGCTTTTGTCTAAGAAAACTGGACAAAACCGCGGGTTTCTCCAACCTCTAAGGGAATTTATGCATGCCTGCAGCATGCATAAATTCGGGCAGAAAATGAGAGTTTGGCAATGATTATTTTAATTTTTGTGGTGCAAAAAGCTGAATTTTTGAGAGGCATGTCATGTTGTACTTGTGTAATGTTTTCACTCATAAGTGGTGAAAATTTTGTACTTTTCATTTTTACCAAATTGGAGGAAACAGTACACGTCGAAAACAATATGAACCCAATGTACCTCTAGTTATATACCACTGGACTGTTTGAATTGGGATTGGCTTACTCAATCCGTGGATTTTTCCCCATTCTATTTGACCGACTCGATACAAGGTTATCGCACACTGAAGCACTCCATCCAAACCAATCTGCTACTGTCCCCACCAAACAAACGGGAACAGGGAACACAGCAACTTGTATCAGGTAACTTTTACAAGAGGCATTGGCTTAGTGTGCTCATCCTATATGTATCCATACTTGGCAAACAGCTCATTCAAGAGCCAGGCTTTCTTGTTTGCAGTAAGGTCAGTTGCAATGGCAGTTAGACTATCAGGTGGCGTTTCCAACTAGTTGTGCCAAATTACACACGCTTGTCAGCTGCCCTGGAACCCCGCTTGAGAAGCCCAACACTCAGGAACTTTGTGGTTTTGTAGCGTGGGCTACACTGGCCGAGGTTCAGCAGTCTTGCGTGGCTCGCATAATGAGCCGTGCTGCACATGCGCGAGGAGCAGTGACGACGTCACACGGCGCACAGCTGGCGCGCTGGAGCAGCCACACCCGCCTCGCCGGTCTGCGCATTCTAGAGGAGTGACGTCATAGTCGCAGCAGACGCACTGGCACTGCCACATGCCCAGCTGTGCACTTCCGTTGTGCAGTAGCCAAGTCTGACGCTGCACTGGAGCCGCTTGATAGCGCCTCTCATTTTGTGCGCACAAGCTCACGCTACGTATATCCTGGCATAGCCGAGCTAAGCCACCGCAATTTTTTCATAAGACACAGTTGGAGAGTCTCAAAGCAATGCATACAGCGTACAAGAAACATAATCGGGTTTTTTGCACATCTTAAAAGGAATGGCAATGCAACTGGACGTGCCAAGGATTCCCAAGTTGTAATATAAAGACCTCCCAAGGCTTAGGGTAACAATGTAGATCTTTGGTTGCTTGTTCGCATGCACTGTCGTTTCGGCATTCATTTGCAAATTCCACGTTCACACTTTGCATATATGTAAATATTTTAAAGGATGCCAGGCCCGTGACAGTTTAAGACGTACGGTAGAACCTCAATGTTTCTCAGGGTACCGCGGGAAAAAAATGTGCAATCCAGGAAAACAAAAATGAGAAGGCCCCCAAGGGCTGGGAGCTCGGCAGAATCGATGGTTCGCAACGAAATAACAGGAAATGAATCAATGAGGTTCCAGTGTCCCTATTTTTTTTTTGTCTATGTAGCCCACACCCGTTGAATAGTTTGCAGGGGCCAATATTGGTTGACAAAACACCTTTTCCTTAGATTGTCCACACCCAATGCATAGTCCGCACACAAAAGATTATCATACACAGCACACCTTGACAAATGACTGTTTTTCTAGCTTACAAAAAAGCCTGTATTATTTGTAACTTGTCATTAACATACTGTCATCCATAAAATCCGTCAGGCCTCCATCATAATGAATGATCTAGAAAAAAATTTATCTTTGTGCAGACAGCACGTCTAGAAAGTCCGCACCACGTAACATTTTGTCTTTAAACATGTATAGTCCTTGGAAAATATGGTATTTTTGACCGACTGGGTCATAGCAGCTTGCCAGGCCTGGAGTGCGGCTCTCCGATTCAAACTGCGCATCCTTACCCCAAAGCTCTCGGTAAAAATCTGCCTTGTAGATAAGTTGCTGATCATATGCAGTTTATTTCACTATCGTAACGATGGATGTTGCTGGATGACAAAAGACGTTCAAAAGCCACTGAAAAGAATAAATATGTTTGGTTTTTAAACAGTCTGATTGAAACACGCGTGTCGAAAAATCAATTTTAAGCAAAAAAAAAACAATTTTTAAGAGCAAAATTGACAGTGCGAGACGCGATTTAGTCGGTAGTCACCTCTTTTCCACTTGTTTTTTCTCTCGGCATTTCGGGCACGTGGGGGGACAGGTGGATCGGCTTGGCCATCATGTTGAGGTGGAGAGAGTGTACGACCATCTCGTTGAGGCGGAAAGAGTGTATGACCATCCCGTGACGTCATGGACTTTGCGCGCAGAAATCTCGCGCAATCATTATTGCTCTAAAAATTATTTTCTTCCCATAAAATATATTTCTTGACACACGTGTCCCAACCAGACTGTTTAAAAAAACATTTTGTTTCTTTATAGTGGCCCTTTAACGGTGCTCCCTGGCAGAAAGAATCACAGCGTGTTCGCTGGCAGGACCAGGGACTTTGTGGAAGCCAGTACTGGAGACAGCGTGGGGACGTTGGCACAGGCGTGCTCCCTCAAGTAGTCGCCTCCCTTCTCTTCGTAATCCGCCTTCCGGATGGAAAACTTGTTCAGGAAGTCCCTCTGGGTGGCACACTGTCTTGCACCTTTCCAGCTGTCCAGCCCAGGATTTTCTGAGTGCAACGTGAACATCAATCACTCACTCGGTCACGGATTCCGTTCCCTCTCGGACTGGACACTTCTTCCACTCTCTGTTGCATTGTCGCAAAGGAACGCGGTCATTCAATGCCTCAAGTGCTATAAGTAAATCCAATCTTGTCTGCTATTCTTGGAACGGCAATGCCTGGGATGCCAAGCGAACTATACCCAGCTAAAAGTTATGGATACAGCTTTATATTGAATGGCTATATTGCAGTGCTTTCAGATCCAATCAGGGAAAGCATTTCTCAAGGCGTTTTTATCACATCTTTTCAAAGCTGACATGGCACAAAAATAATGACACACATCTAAACAATTAATTTGCCTTATCCAACCCTCTAAAGGTTTGGAAGATGGTATAATTGCCATTCCTTAGCATCAATCTTTTCTATGCCTCAATTACAAGCTTTTACTACTTTTACAACTATGTTATTACTTACTATGGTGTTTTCGTCATTCCAGTAACCTAGCATTGCTGTTTTTTTAGTTTGTTTTTTTTAGACAACATTTGGATCTTATTTGTATTTTGACTTCTTTATCCTGTCCCATGCATTGCATTACTGATATGTATGTTTTTTTTTTATTTCGTCACATTTTAGAAATATTTCTATTGAAAATCTGTTAACTTGTTTTATTTGTATCTATTTTTTGTTATTAGGAACTTGGCACTTCTTTCTATGTGTTGCTCCTCAGTTGAAACATGTTACACAGTGTGCAACTTGATAACCGCTCAGTCTCTGGTATGACCACATACCTAATTCCAACTTTTTTTACAAAGCTACATGTTGTATTTTTGGCGGTTCTTATACCCCAGTAAACAAATGAGGCAACAACGGAAGGTAACAAGCTATTGCTTTTGGTAGTGCTAGAGCCCTCTTGACAATAAAAATTTGTATCACCAAACTATATTATGAGTGTCTGAAGTCACAAGGCTCGATCTAAAATGGACCGTAAGAATCGACGCCCGCACGAAGTAATCTAACCTTTTCGAAAAAGCTGTATTTCACAGGTCCGTTTTTTCTTGTGTGTAGCTCCCTTTCTGTACAAAAAAAAAGGGCTGAAAAGCTTGCCAGGGTCAACAGCAGGCGGCGAAGCAGACAACTGAGTTGAGCGGCGGGGTATGTTGGGCGCACATATTGATAGATGGCGCTACCTCCTTTTCGAGACTGCTCGCGACGACCGTGATTTACTAAAATTAAGATAATCTTTTTGTAGTGTACCTTTGGTTTAAAAATAAATGCAAACTATAAAAGCAAAACTTAAAGTTAAAAAACAAAATGCGGTTGCATAACAACAGCGTTTTTGCTGCCGACAGGTTTCGTCTGCGTGTTGTCTGCATTCTTTCGCTGGTCGGCTACACCTTCTGACACTGCTCCCAATGCCATCTATCAATATGTGTGCCAAACGCACCTCGCCGCTCGACTCAGTCGTCTGCATCGCCGCCCACCGTTGACTCTGGCAAGTTTTTCAGCCCTACATTTCACAAAAAGGGAGCTACGCTTTGTAATTTTACAAGAAAAAAACGAACTTGTGAAATACACGTTTGTGTGTTTTACAGGTCTAAGTATAAGGGACTTCAGTTATAAAAATTCTCATGCAAACAAGGGTAACGTATTTTCCAGACCATAGTCCGCACTTGGTGCACACAGTCAAACCCGTTTATAACGAACAGCAAGAAACGCTACGATCAGTTCGATATAGCAAAAACAATTTACATACAACAAACTTCCACGATGCTTTTGTTGTAAGGCGAGAGCTTCTCTTTGTTTCTCATCTCTTCACTTCCGCCTTGTAATAACGCGCTGCAATTTTTTTTTTTTTTTTTTTGCATGCGTGCAGATTTTTTTTGTTCTTTTAGTTCATTTTATTTTCTGACTTACTTTTCTTCGTAAGCAAACGCTTTAGGATAATTTTTTTTTTTTTTTTTTTTTTGTGCCTGCAGAGTGTATTTTTTAGCTTTTCCCCCTTCTGAATAGCTTCTCTTCGCTCAATTTCGTTCGCAACTTGAGCTTTTGGAATTTTCTTTCTTTCCTACTTATTTTTGGGGGAAGGGACAGGCTAGAAGACAATTGTTTGCGGGTTTTGGAAGTCTTCCCGAAGGGAAAAAGTTTGATATAGCCAATATGTTGTTCGTTATAAAAAGTACTTTTTACATGCATTTTTATTTAAAATTTTTGTGAGTTCGATATCGACAATAATTCGCTGTACGTGGGTTCGTTCCAAACGGGTTTCACTGTAGTCCTCAGTTGCAATTCTGGGGTCAAAAATAAAAGTATTTGCTTAGATAGTTTACACTCGGTACATAATCCGCACACCATGCATAGTCCGCACTTGGTGCCTAGTCTGAATGTAATAAGTATCATGCACAGCACACCTTGACAAATGCCTACTCTATTAGCTCGCAAAGAAGCTTTATCATGTGTAAATCAACATTAGTACAATCCACTACTCATAAAGTTCTTCACGACTTGTCAGAGTTAACGACCTGGAAAAAAACAAATCATAGTATAATCCGCACGCGTAGATAGTTTGCATCGGGTGAATTTTCAACTTTTAAACATGTATAGTCCGCGGACTACAGTTCGGAAAATATGGTACTTTCACAACTGCATGCATGCACCAGCAAGTTAATTGATATTATAAGGGTCACCTCTTACTGTGCAAATTTTTGAAACCATTTCAGTTGTCAGTTATATTACAAAGGGACATCTCACAAGTGACTTCGACTGGCAGCATTCAGAAGACTGTGATGAATATATTTTGCAGTTATGAAGACACTTATGCCAAACATTTTTGCAGAGATTTATCTCAGTTAGCTATACATTTTGCATTTTTTAGGAGAGAGAGACACTACAGATGCAGTCAAAATAAGCTATAGAATGTGCCAACATGATCACTTGGTGGAGGCGGGACAAACATTTGGCTGTCCAGGACACTGCTCCTCAATATTCTCCAACACTCGTTTCACATATACTAACTGCACAATGTGACAAAGTGCATTAATGTGTTCCATGTTGTTTTGGTGTGCGGCTTCGTGTTCGGCTGCGCATATGCATGTAATAAAGTACTAGCAGAACCCCTCCCATACACAAAATGACTGCAATCTCAAAATGAATGAACTTACTGGCGCACGACACTGAGAATGTAGACTGAAACGGGCGCATTGCCAGGAGCTCAGCACGTAAACGTTCTTGAACTCCTCGAATCGAAGCCGGTCCACCGGTTAGAAACACATTCTGGAACATGAAAGAGTTGTTATGGCACGGCAGTGCTATGACTCTGAATTATCAGAGGCTCCGCATGGTGCCAGTGCTAATTGCCTCTTCAATGAGGAACGTGGAAAAACTGTTATTGTAAATTCCCTTAAAGGGATACTTCAACGAAATCTGAAATATTCCCATCGTGTTCAAAAATAGGTTGAATATGATCCACAATATTCGTAAATGACAACCACATGTTGTATTTTGAGCCTGGTGGCTGTATTTTTCCTTATAAACGGCCCACTCTGGCAAGCGCTCGGAGAAGGCCCAGTGGAGACCACGTGACCTCCAACGCAATCGTGACGTAGGTCGTCTCGGGACGAGCAAAGCTGCGGCGAGGCTGACGTCGAGAGGATGGCCTAGTCGTTCCAGCCACCGAAGCGGCTGCTTTTGTACAAATTTTGAGTGACGGGTTAATCTTCTGTAATCTTGAAGGGGGACAATAGCGACTTCTGCGACACACAAAAGGCATTCTCGGGAAGAGGGGAGCTCCTCCTTTCCCTCTTCTCTCGTCGTGGCCCGAGGCCAGACAATATCCGTCACTAGCCGTCAAGGTTCCTAGACGGGCATTACAAGCGAGATGTTAGCGACATCCACCAGGTGCTCTTTGCTAAGCGTCTAATTCGTTTTAAAATTCCTTTTCGAGACTTTTTTAACAAAATATTGGTATGTTCGATGTGATGCTGCTCCTTTGAACACATATAGACCAAAAAATGAGCGCCGAAATTTCGTTGTAGAATCCATTTAAGGGCACACACCCAAAATGAAAAGATAAATGGTGAAAAACGTCAGGTCGGCTATCTTTGGGGATGAGACAGCAAAACTTTATAAAAATAATAATAAAAACAAGGGGCACCTGTTACAAACCATGTGACATGGGAACTGATACCGCAGATCGCAAACACCGCAAATTGGCGTTTCACAACGCGATAGACAGGCGGTAATTCACTACGAGCTCCTGTGAGATGCGGCAGATTCATGTTTCACAGTGATAATAATAATTATAATATTTTATTTGCACATAATAAACACGCAGAACTTGTGCGCCACGGGAGCCGATATCGCGTGCGCAGACCACGGACAAAAAAGTGGGAACTCGCTACGAACTCGCATGTTATGGGCACCGAAACTGCACACGCAGATAGCAGAAAAAAATTTGCAGGAACACGCTGTGAACCTGCTTGTCACACATACCAGTACCGTAGATTGCGCGGTATGTCCCGTCGGACCCCGTGGGATGTCCGACAGGAACCGGGGAGGGGGCAATGTTTCAGAATTTTTATGTTATGGATATTTAGCCAGAAAAACGGGATGGGCGACCTCTCAGGGGAGGGCGCCCTAGCGGGATTTTACGTTACTACTACCGCACTTGCATGGAAGTAGTAGACCAAAATGGAATGTTTCTATGCATATCTACGTTTTTCACTGTCAACTTTCATCAATAGTAAAAGATAGAAATACACCAATGAAGACAGTAAAGCTCACGTAGAAAAGCAACATACCTGGCTCGCTTACATGCGTTCCAATATAGTGAATGCAATAACACAATGCCATAAGCCATAAATGCCACAATGCCCACTTACAGTGACTTATTTCGTACCATTCCAAAGTCAATGGGATGAAGTAAGCTTGACTAGTGAGAAGAACCAACCAAATATCTCTGTTACCAACACGAGCCTTGGCAGGGAATGTGAAACCTCATAATATCTAGACAGACCCAATGGGCCCATTTGCACTGACATGCCTTTCTAGACTGGAAAAAGATGCTCAAAGCAGCTGGTCACCTGAGCCAAGAAAGACTGCTGTTCCTTGGTGTACCTCGAGAAGACAAACTCCAGGGTTTCCGTAAGTCCGGCCTGTTCAAGGCCAATCATGCTCGGCTGAAAGAGTATTTCGGGGGCCCTGCGATGTAAAAGTAGCTCCATCAACGATTAATTAAAAAAAAAAAAAAAGAGGAATGAGCAGCAACAGCAGGCATTAATGTTACAGTGTGGCTGTTCGAAGTCTTTCAAGAAAAGAGGTTGCATACCTGATCCTCTCAATGCCCAGCTGAAGCTGGTAGTATTCAGCAATACTGGCACTGCTCTGTTCAGAACCCAGCTGTGGCTTTCTGTGTGCACGAAGGTGAAAGAAACAGCCTGGACTTAAAATCGAGGAATCGTGACAGCGGAAAACAAACCATGTAGGAAACAACGTAGCCTGTAGGAGCCCAGCATGTAAAGTATCATCATCATCATAATATCCATGTGCTCATGAACAGCAAAACTGCCATAATTAAGATAAATAAGTGATGTCTTGTGGTAGCAGTTAAGACTGCAAGACACAGACAGTACACCACTGAATATTAACTTCCAGACATGTAACACAGTAAAATAAGAAAGACCTGAAGTCTTTAAACTTTAGTGTTTACACTAGTGACAAATTGCAGCCAGCTTTGCCCAGCCTGCTGGCACTGCGACAGAACTTCAATGTCTTTTGAGCCCCTCAAGTGGTTTCATTAAGTGAACAGTATAATCCCTAGTAACATGTTAAATATAGAGTCAACGATGTAGATGAAAAACCAATAACATATTCTTTTTAAGTCACTAAAAGAGCTGATATGATCTCTTGCTCAACATTTCTTAAAACCTATCAGCTGCAAGAATGCCACCTGTAGGCTAAAATATTTGTAACATTGGTATATTGCACCTGGATTGGAAGGTAGCATAACCACTACAATGTAACTATTTGCATCCAAGAAAGAACTGCATGCTGAATGCTGGCTGTTGGTATGTAGTCTTTGTTGCTATGTACAGTCTATAAAATTTTAAGAGACAATTATAAACTGTAAGGTTGTGCGAATATTTGAACTTTCAGAGTAGTTTCGACGCTATTCGATTATCGGTCCGATATGAACTGCGATATTCATACTTTTCTAAGTGTTGATCGTGGCGGGTTAGCCCTGTTGAGTGCGCTTCACACCGAGGACTTATGCGATAGCCACGGAGCTCGCGGGCTTCGCAGGCCCCGCAATGCACTGGTGCGGTGTGAAGCGCACTCAACAGGACTAACCTGCCGTGATTATGCAAGAGCATATGTTAGGCAGAAACGTCTGACAATCCACGTTCATCATTCGGGCTTACTTTTTTGTGTCAAATTCGAAATTCACTTCACTTCGAACTCAAGGCCTACTATTTACACATCCCTACTGAAAGCTACTAATAAAATTCCACCACTCACATCAAAACCTGTTCTGGGTAAACTGAGAAAGAACCACTACTCATATGCTCCAATTGCCTCCGAGCACAGAAATAAAATGGGGAGTGCAACAGCACTGTCATCTGATTAATTGTGCCTAAAGTCACTGACAAAATGAGAATGGCAGGGAGATCCTTCAGTTGTCCTGCTTCCAGCATGAACTTTCCAGCTCCGATAGCGCTTCGGCATCTCTTGAGCCTCGAGCATGCCGCACAACCAAAGCACGGCAAATGGCAACGAGCGCGTGCCAGAGGCCAGGCATCCGAAAGAGATGACCTGCTGTTCTCATCCTGCCAGTGACTATCCAAAAGAAATACCCTGCCATTCTTATCCTGTCAGCGACTATAGCAGTAATAAAAACCCTGATCATAACCCAATCTTTTATATCATAAGTGCAATCGGGTCCATACTACATTAGGGATAGCACGGTAACCGTTAACAAAATAAAGTGCTGTCGACCTGTTACTTTCACTCTCCAAGTGCTCATCGTCTAATAATATAAAAGAAAAGAGTGAAAAAAATATAAATTAAGAAGTTAAAAAGGGAAGTACACATTGGTGTTTTGCTGCATTAGTCTATTGTGAGGCTTCCTTACAAAGTATGTGTATCTCATAATTAGGATTCTGCATCTTCAAAGCTTATTTTTGCAAAAAAATCTTCTCTTTTTTTAGTTTTTTGGTTTATTTATTTATGCACTCGAAATTCGGAGTTTATGGGGTGTTTAGCATTTAGCATTTTAGGGGTGTTTAGCAAGAGAAGATACCCAGATAAAGTATCTAGAGAGCTACACGAGGCATTTGAGATTAAAGCCAAAGGCACGAGGGTGTACAAGTGACACATCCATAGCCTTATCAACAAAAGAATATGAATTTCTTAATAGGTGGTTACACCGGTTGGAGTCATAACTGATGTTTTTCACGGCTATATAAGGGATTGGTTTATCAAGGAATGTTAGTTGTGAGTGCGCCACTGCTTACGTCAACTTCTTGTCCCTGTCTATTTTTTTGGCACTTGTCTACAATCATGAACCAACTGGCCCGAACTGCCACATTAATGCAACTGACTGAATCTCGAATTTCTATCGTCAACGAGGATGACTCGGGAATGCGTGCAAAGGTTCAGTCTGCAACAAAAAGAGGTCACAGGATGGCGAGTGAAGGTCTTAGAAAGAAAGGTATCCGGGAGGAAAGCCCCCGCTTGACCTAACTATGTATTCGACCTTGGTTAGCCAATTGTTGTGAGGAGGACACCTGCCTTTTCTGATAAGGGTTCATAGGACAGACTTTTTTAAGCCTTCGGAAAGGGCAAAGTGGAACGAAGAAACTTGGAAACAATAAAAAGTGGATGAAGAAAGTGTCTTTTGGGTTTTTCAAGAAGTTTCTTTTGTTTTTGCAACTGAGTTTCTGAATTCATAGTGTTTCATATAAATCCGAATTCAAAATATTTTTCCCAGCAAGTGTTTTTCAGATTTATCTGATTTACCCGAAAATGCAGAACCCTACTAATACCTGTCCTGATCAAGCCACGAAAAACGAAAGAACTCTACTCATAATCTATAGAGCTGTACTGAGCAAGCCACGAAAAACCAAAGATATTGCCTAGTGGCCCTTTAACGTGCGGTAATCACCGGTGAAATTCAAAATCTCAGCATTCCTATCAAGATAGAGATTAGATAGGGAACAAAATAAAGAGCTTCGGTTTGATGATTACAAAAATATTGTAATGAACAAAACTGACCAAGAAAAAGAGTTTTCTGTACCAAAGTGAAGAGAAGATTCAATGTGAGCAAGGTTCAGCTTTGAATGTTAGAACGACCCTTACTTCTTGAAGTCTCTTTCAAATTCGGTGATAATTTCCTCCATTTCATCAATCTCCTCAGTGTAGTCACAATCATCCAGATCTATATCGGAAAACTGGGGATCCTGGATAAGTGAAGAAAAGAAGTGCACAAACATTAACAAAAAGTAGAACGGTGACAATGGGAACGTACTTCTGAAAAGCTTCGTGTCTGCTGAATAAATAGCACAACCCTTGCCACTGATTTTTAAGCATTACTGTACCCGGTTACTTTCTGTGGTGACTTATGAAAAACAATTCAAACAATTTATCGCACTTCACCGATTCCTACGAGAGATTACACAGTTCATAAACTTGTCCCCGATCAAAAAATTCTGTTACCATAAAATGTGCCAGTACCTACGTGTTAGGTAACTTGCAAACTTTCAAAGCTCACGAATATGAAAATGTTAACGGTACACTGCTAACTAAATATATCTAGGCCTCAGGATGATAGCGGCCAATGTACAGTCTGTGACACTACAAGCTGGAACGCCGGCCGGAGTGCTAAAAATCCCGCATGGAATGCCTCAGGCACAATAAGCTGTAGGGGGTGAGATTGAAACGTACCACCCCCAGTTCATGCACGAGAGGTGTTGGCAGAATAAATAAGTTGCGCATTTGCCGTGAACAAGCAGTTTATCTGTACTGCTGAACAAAAAAAAAGTAGTATTTTTCACCCATAACGTGCGAAGAAATGAAAGCGATAGCTGTAGCAGGTCGCGCAATCTGGCTGGAATGGTGCTGTCTCGTATCTGAGGACGGAGGTGCGACGTGGTTAATTCTAATAGCCGTTGAGGTTGGCATCGCAGATGCCACTGACAACTGCCACCAGTAATCCGTGAAGTGGATAAGCGCGGTGGAAGTTTCTAAAAATGTCCAACATTGCGCGTAGGACCTGGATACAGTATAAACTTGTTACAACAGACCTGGTTACAACAGACATTTGGATATAACATACTGCTTTCTGAAGTTCGGTTAGTTCTTCTATCTGTACCATTGGTTCAACTTCATATCTGCATACAGCATACTCCTTTTACAACAGACTGAAATCTTGGTCACTATCAAGGTCTGTTATAACCAAGCTATGCTTGTTTTCACCTCAAGAATTGCAGTAAAAAAAGCCTGGCTCCTCGCGGAGCCTTAATAATTTCTCCCTTTATGTAAAGAATTATTATATATGTGGGCCCATATCAGATTATGTACATATGTTTTCTTATCAAGACGTAGACGTTTCAAACGCCAGAACATTGCTTCTTCCTCCGTCAGTCAAATATTGTAAGAACTACTTCGCGTGGCATATGAACAATGCGGAAAACTTCCTTTTTTTTTTTTTTGAGGTGCAAATGAGTATAGACTGTACTGCCAAAGTGGGATTTCGCGTAACGCAAGGAATGTTTGCAAACAACTGTTTGAGGCAGACAACAGGAGGATTCTCCCTATTCTCCCTTCATCGCGCCATTCTCGGTGGGATGCCCAAGGCTGCCCTCTTCGCTCTCTTTGTGCAGCACAGCCAATGGGAAGTCCCGATTTTCCTCTCCTCACGCCAAGAGGGGAGAAAAAAAATGTCTCCCTTTTTCCCACACACGGTGACGACAGCCCATGATGTCGAAATCTCTGCTAAGGGTTGCCCAAAAAGCAATCACTTTAAAACAAAAACAATAAACGGTGTCAGCTTTCTAACACGTTACATCAGCACTAACCACTACCACTACAAACAGATCTGCATGAATTGGAGGTAGTACACTATGGTCATGCTCCAAACAGCTTACTGTGCCTGGGGCACCCCGTGCAGGATTTTCACTGCTCCAACCGGAGTTTCATCGTGCTAGCTCACAGTGTAAAAAATGCAAAGTTAGGTGCACATTTGCTTTATTACCTTCTTCTTCACCTTTGACTTCAGTGCTGTAAATACACACAGAATCAGTCATTACTGGGCATTCCAAGCCTCCTATCGTCAACTGCAATGCACACAAACAAAATGAACAATTACAGCTACCTGGGTTGTGGGCTTTCTCCAGGAGCCTTAGTTGTTGCTGCATTCTCCTATCTTTAAGTTCCTGCATTAGAGAGATATTGATGCATAGGAGATATAGAGACTGCAAGAGCAATGCCAATATATCTCATAAGGCAAGACTGAAGCGAGTCTTGCATCGAGAGGGAATATCAAATGGGCCTCATCAATTCAATATTTCTTGATGTATTAAATTCTTCCTTAGCCCATGGTGATGAGCTTAAAAAATTAGTGAATTTACGTCAGAAAGTTATCATGCACCAAACTGTTCTGCCACAAGATGTGACATGGTGTTTTTCTTCAACATCTTCATAGCAATTTCCCTTTTAAGTCATCTTACTGCACAACTGCACCATTCCAATCTGCTAGACTCAAGGTTCTAAAGGTTGAACCCATGTGAGTTCCTATGTTTTGTTTTTGTTTCTCAGGCTACATGTATGTATTGCTAACTGGAAGAAACCTCTTAAATCTATTATCATAATTTGCAGCCCGTCATAATGCAAACAGAACTGTAAATAACTGTTTTCTTCTGTGGTACGTTTAACAAAATATTTCCATGGCACACCCCTCAGTGAAATATGGCCACATTTTGCCGAAAAGCGGCATGCAGTAATCATTAATCACATTTTTAATAGAGAAACAGGTTAGCGCATGATTGTAAAAAATTCTTTGCATTGTTTATAACTGTGGTCAAAGCCTAACCTTACCGATCTGTTCCTACAATGACTCGTCACATCGATCCTGACTTTGTAAAACCTAAACTTCTGTATCATTTGCTTTTTTAAAGTTTGTACTTCCTGCGCTGCTTCTTTTTCTGTCGTCATAGTTCCGAACGCTACTTTTACTTTGCTATCACCCTTTTATGTAATGCAGCACTGACGTCATTGAGGTAAGTAAAAAAAAAAAATCAAAAGTTAGTGTTTACAAGACAGGTCCTTTGGCCTTCATTCCACTACCATTAAGCTGGGAATGCAGGAACACACTTGAAATGCACAAGTTGGCCTACATAGCGATAGTTCCCCTTCAGCTTTCCTCAAGTTACTCAGTCACAGCCCATAACAACCCAGCTAAACAGAGGCTATTTTCATCTCTAATGACCCAAGCTCCACGAAAATACACTATGTCAAATTAATGTGATAATCTATTAAGGGCATCCCAAAATCAACTTGACCTTTTCCGTATTACCCAATTAAAAATCTTTTGAGGTCTCTTTGTCAGCTAGCTGGAAACTCCCGGTTTCTTTGTCTCTTTGTTTGGCCAAAGTCTGACTGCCAGAAAGCCGTCACAGTCCACAAATGCAACGGCTGCTTGTCACATTTTAGATCCTAATCTCTCAGGCCATTAACATGACCCTCCAGGACTCGGAGACTATGGTCAGATGAGAACGGCAAGGAAGTTCTTCAGTTGTCCCGCCTCAAGTGTGAGCTCCCGACCTCCTATAATGCTTTGGCGTATCGTGAGCCTTGAGCATGCACTCACTGCCAGAGCACAGCAAAAGGCAACGAGCACATGCTGGGAGCCGGGCACTCAAAAGAAATGCCCTGCCATTATCACCCTGCCAGTGACTATAGGGGAGATCAAACCATGGCGCCCCAAGCGGCTAACTTTAGAACTACATGGACGGGGACAACAAATAACAATGAGCTTGGCTGACGTAACCGAACGCCGCATCAGCGTTTGGCTGGAGTTTGTGTTCCCCGGTAGCCTGAGAGGGAGGAGTGGCTATTTTGTTACCACTCCAGCCTGCATGAACAATGCAGCATGCATGATGCATATGGCCAGCTCAGCACAAAAGCAGAGGTGGGTCAAGCTCGCATTCTCTGACGACTGCTTTCAGGAGAGATCGGCACTTAACGTCACTTTGTTTATTGTTAGTATTTTTACGTTACACCGTGCCTCGCGCTCTATTGAAGATGTTGAAAACATGATAACATAGACATGCCCACAAGGCCTGTGGGCCCACGTGCCTTGTGTTTGGTAAACACCGAGGTGTGGGGATAACAAACGGGTCAGAGCACCCCCATAGTTCAATCTCCTCGCCAATAGCCCTGCTGGTTCCGACAAACGTCGTGTCTGGCAAATTGCAGTCATTCTTCAAGCTTCCGTTCCACAAACATCCGCTATCTCTTTGCAACAACTCGCAGCATCAATGAACAAATGTGAGAACCCCAAATGTGGGAACAAGAGGAATCCAAGTCAGAATTCACCTCTCGCCGCTTTCTCACGGCGGCGATCCATGCGTCGGGCTCAGGAAAGAGGCGGGGATCCAGGTCAGAGCAGGCACGCTTCATCGGGCTTTCCTGGGATAAGCGGGACAACAAACAGGGCCCCAAGTAAGAAATCGACAGAAAGCATTGGTTCTTTAAAGAGGCATCGTAAATAATGGTCTCATGTCCTCGGTTCATTTACACTAGAAACGTTGCTCAGTGCTAACATATTTTTCTTTGTCCTGTATACTTTTACTGAGTACTGTTTCGTCTTAATTTTTGGTTCTCAGCCTCTCTCATGGTACTCACCTGTACGACAATACCACTACTATGCTACAAGAATGACATTTTTAGGAAGTGCCTCAACTGCACGAACTCATGCCCACCAAGAGCAACTTTCAAGGACAAAACTTTGAGGTTGGGTTTCCAGCTGTCAAGAAGCATCATTAAAATGCAAGAAATATCTTCTGATGCTACTATAAAAATTGTCAGGCAAGCACAGTCATATGAAGGTTTTTTTTAGACATGAACTTGACTAAATTTTTAGAGAAAATGGCAACGACAGTGTGCTTGTTCTCTTGTTGAATTGAAAAATGCAAGGACATTAGCAGAGCGGTGTTATTTTCAATCTTGTTATCACGTCAGGGATGGGCCTACAGTATAGTCACATAAAGGAATCAAAGCTAAAGATGTCGTCACCGAAACAGCCAGGTTACGAAAAGCAAGGAGCACGAGGTACCTTCTCCAGAAAATCTCAAATGTGCAACTGAGAGACTCCGTTACTCTGAAGCGTGAAAACCACCGCAGTTTCCTCCTTTCTGGGTGATCCTACAACATTATTGCGTCCCCCTCCCCCCCACCCCACTCTGCATCGGCCCTTGACCTTTCGACAGGCGTGGACTATGACGCCCTCACAGCCGAATGAGTTTGAAACCCCTGGTCTATGTGCACCAAGCGCCCTAAGAACCCAAAGTTACGATCATGCACGTCCTATGAATCTTACCAAGCGTCACAACATGCGTACAGCCCTTTGTCAGTGAAAAAAAGGCATATTTGCCAAAAAGGGGCATGCCGTGACCTACAATCATATTTTTAATAGAGAAATAGGTTATACTTCGTCTCACTTTAGGATGGACAAACCGTGAATGCTGTGCTAGCGCAATCGGCTAGCCTTGACTGCCGTGACTGGAGCACTCGCGGCACGAGCGCTCGTGCAGGCGCCGAGGCTTCATTTGAAGCAACTAGCTCGCGCCTTTACCACGTGCGGCTAACAATAGTCCATACTAAAGTGAGACGAAGTATAGTGCACGATCATAAACAATACTTTGCATTGCTTATAACTTGCATTCTTCTTCAGCATCTCATTCTTTCTTCTTGAACAAAGTTTCCATTTCTTGCTGAAAATTACGACATCATGTAACACCAGGAATAGGTGTTCAACGAGCCAACTCCATGAGTGCACGGAAAAAAGGAAACATTTATAGGTTGTGTCACTACAGTGCAATCCACTAATAATGATACCACATATAATGATGTTTTGCTCATAACAGTCAGTTTCTAGAGTTTCAAGACTAGAATCGCCCAGCTCCTAGTCTCGAAACAACGATAATCAATTATAACAATTGAATTTTCGGGCTTTCTCATTGTTGTTATAAGTTGATTGAACTGTATTAGATATGTTGCCAACCTCCAGAAACAAAAGCAAGAGCCTGGCCACAGAAATTTCAGCCAGGCTGCTGTAGAGCACTGCGTGGGCCCGGGCCAGCCCAAAAACCCGAGCCTGGCCCGGCCCGCGGGCCGGGCTCGGGCCGGGTAGCATGCATTCTCTCGGGCCCGGGCCGGGCTCGGGCTTGAACAAAATATTTTCCGGGCCGTGTCGGCCCGGGCCGTGGCTGGGCAGTCGTGTGCCACAAATTTTAAATTGTTGATAACAAAAAAGCTGCTCATTGATCTTCTCGGTTTAATGAAAACAAACAAGCGAAATGCAAAATTACTAAGCTGCTGTTAAAAAAAAAAAAGACGTCTTGCACTTGGAAAGCTTTTACGTGGATGAAAAGAAACATATGGATTCCTCCACCATAGTGGGAAAGTACGGTCAAGAAACCGAGGGCACTCCAGTCGCAGGGTACAACATGAGTGTATTTTTCCTCTGCGTTTCAAACTGAACACAAGAAAAACAATGTGAGCTTGATTTTGCTTTTGTGCAGGGAGCCTTACTATGCCGCCAAAGATAAGCTAACTAGATATTTTTATGCTTATACAGCTTTTTGAATATGTACTAGCGTGATTCTGATTATTTCTTCACAAAAACATGTAGAGAGAAAAGTTCTCTGAAACGAATCGAACAACGAAAAGCCCGATATCTCTTCAAGAAATGCATAAATAAAGAATACGGCACTTTTTTTTCTTTAAATCACTTACACACTGCATATTTCACCATTATTCTCGAAAATATACCAAGTCGGGATATTTATTGAGTCAAAAAATCTCGATCCAAGTCCAAAAAAAATTTAAATCCAATATGCTCGCTTTATGCTTAGACAGTCTTTAGGTTAAAGCCTGCAAACTTTTTTGGGCTCATGAATAAAAAACTGTCGGGCTCGGGCCGGACTCAGGCTTATATTTAAAACATTTTTGTCGGGCTCGGGCCAGGCTCGAACTTCTGTCTAAAAATTCTGCCGGGCCCGGGCCGGGCCCGGGCTATGTCTCTTCCGGGCCGGGTCGGGCCGGGCCTAGAAATTAAATATTTTGTCGGGCTCGGACCGGGCCCGGGCTCGGACCGGGCTTGGGCCCGGGCCGTGCCTCTGCCGGGCCGGGTCAGGCCTAGAAAATCCGGCCCGTGCAGGGCTCTAGGCTGCCGCCCATCACGTGCAGCCATGCACTTGCCTGCACCAGCTCCAATCATACAGAGGCAAACAAAAACAAACGGTGTAGAAGTGGCACCCCTAAAATTACTGATACAGATACTGTGACGAAGGACAGACGATGAGGCAGAAGAAAACAAAATTAACTAAAGGTTTAATGGGGGCGAACTTGTGCTAAATACGAAAAAGAACAAACGTCGAGAAAACAACAGCGAGCGTCGACGGTGGCATCAGCAAGCGACGGTAGTCGGCGAGAGATAATCAGTGAAATGAATCGGCAATACAGCACTGGGTTCTTTATCTACTATGCTTGTCATCTTGAATATTCCACCTAGAATGTTCGGGAAAGAGCTGGGGCAAGACTGACTAGGCAAGGTCGTTCTGGCCTTTTTATCGCTTACGCTCGGGGTAAGAGTGTACACATATCTCCTAGATGAACGGAACAGGAGCAGCGTATTGCATGCATGCAACAATATATGCATCCACGATTCAAACGCCTGCACGTCAGAGGCAAATTGTGAGGCTCCGTACCAAAAAGTCCGAGTCAGCAGTGGTTCCCACCAGGGTGTTCTTAACTTGCTGCACCTGCCGCCTCAGTTCGTTGATCACCAAGGTGAGCTCTTCAATACTGGAGAAGCCCAGCTCCTGGAGAGTCCTCTAATGCGTGGGAAATAAAAAGGGGAATAAGATGTGCAGGCTGAAACACTCAGACTATACTTTGCTTCACCTTAAGAGCGAGCACATTCAAAGGCTAAAAAATATGCGAACACATACATAAGGACACGGCACACCGTCTGAGTTCATTGGATGGGCTGGTAATGACACACACAAACAAAGACCACAAAAATACTGACATTGCACTTTCGTCACTGCTCGATTGGTCCTATTGTCGCATAGCGTCAACTGCGATCGGACTTAAAATGAGGTATTTCTATTACAACACTCCACCGCAAGCAAAATAAGTGGAATTGAGCAAACAGACGTCCAACAGCAGAAGTCACTATTTGTTTCAGTTGTTCTGCCTATTTTTAAGCTATTTCTGGGCTCTTCTCTTTCTATCCAAACTAGGGGTGTCCACAACTTGATTTCATTTTGCTTCTTCAGTTTTGCTTTGGAGCAATCGCCGGCTTTCTTTTAGCAAACCTCCTCCTCATGCCTCTGTTCCTCCTTGCGTACCCCTATAAGAGGTCACGAAAGCAGCGTTGCCTATCAAGTCGCATGAGGTTTCAATTGTGAAGAGATGCAATCTTGAGGCAGGATTGTATAGGCAGAAACATAACTTTGCAATATAAATCATGCTAAACAATACAGACTGATCTTTCAGCCATATATCGTGCATATGCTCTTTCCTTTATATACACAGAAATCCAGAAAGTTCTAACGTGAACCCCCTTCACCGTCTATAAATGCACATAACGTAGAAGAAAAAGAAACGGGTTGATTGTGCTCAAACTTCCTTTGCTCAAAACAAGTTGTTACCTGAAAGGTTGCTTCATCTTCAAACTCAAGGAGTTCCTGTATGTTGATCAGCTGTTGCAGCTTCTCTTCATCATCTGAAAGCTGCAAAAACAGTGCATGCTGTTTTACAAGAAAATCTCACTATGTACCTGGCTATCACACTACAGTTAATGAATCATTGAGATCCTACATAAAATTCTGGCTGCTACAACTACAGTATAAAACCTGCCAAAGTTTGTGTGAAATAGGCTGCAAAAGTGAGTCAATTACTCTTAAAAAAGCACACCCCAGTAAAATCACTTTGCATAAGAGCGAGTAATGATTAAAATTCTTTTCTTGAGTTGAAGCACTCAAGACTTGAAATATGAATATATAAAAAGTAAGAGATATGCTATGTTACGACAGAACGAGCAGGTTGGTAGGGATAATTAAACTTGAGGAAGAAAACGAGAAGGGATGGTTTGTCCGTCCCTTCTCGTTTTTTCCTCAAGTTTAATTAATGCTATGTTCTTCCACTAAAAAAGTTTCATGATCTTTATTTTAAATTTAGGAGTTCTGGGTGGGGCAAAAGGTTATGTTGCAAGGAAAAATCCTTAAAGTCACACATAAATCCAGACAGGAGGAATCCCATCCTTATTTCTGCGGGGATTAGCTCTCGGATTTGCTGAATTTTGATGAAGAGAAGTGAGCACGAAAAAGAATGGAGAACAGAAATCGGTTTCAAAGTAGGCTCTAATGCATATTTGTATGTAATACTTTAAAGGGAAGCTGAAGAGGTTGCTGAAAAAACATGCTTATGGTGGATATAGACATAATTTTGTTTAGTACATCCAAATCTGAAACTTATGCTAAAGATGAAGGAAATACAAAACTTTCAACTTTTCCACTCTGGTGAAGAAAGACCAGCAAAGCTGTACTATGGTGCGACAACCTCAAGGACGACGCCTAGAGGACGACGTCTAGGACGACCTCAAGGACGACTTCTAGGATGACCTCGAGGACGACCTCAGGGACAACATCAAGGACAACCTCTAAGTCAAACTCAAGGATGACTTCTCGGACAACCTCGAGAACAACCTCAAGGACAATGTTTAGGATGACCTTGAGGACGACATCTAGGACGACGCCTAGAGAAATTCAATCTTTCCACTCTGGTGAAAACCAGAGTGGAAAGGCTGGAAAGGTTGCCACCATCTATGAGCAAGGCCGGCAAGCCGGTTGTCTGGTTGCTGCCGTCGCTCATAGATGGTGGTAGCTCTGCAGAGTTTTGTGTCAACATTTGTCTGGTACCGGACGCGATCCTGGGGAACCTAGCCCTTAACAGCTTCGCTGTAAAAATGCAGTGAGCCGTGGCTTCAACCTCTGCCTCCGACATTGCTGCTGGTTGTGCAAGCACACGGGTTCGGCTGGCTAGTGTCATGTGAAGCGATCAAGCATCTGAGAGATGCATGTATTGCTTGTTTTCTGAAGTGGAAAACTTGGACATCTTGGGTCATGGAATATGCATGTGTGCATGCCACGAGTCAAGACACAATCACTCTAAGCTCTGAGGACAAGGATAATCAAGGGGTTTAGTTTCAACAATATTTTGAAGATGTTGTATGGAGACAGCTGGTATTGGGCATGGTTTAACAGCAGATCGCCGAGCGAGTTTTCTGTAAAGCTGTCCCGGATGATCTAGCAATGTCATGGAACATCATGTCACATGACACTGGCAAAATTTTTCTACTAGTTTAAGAAGATGGACTTAGGAAAAAAAAGTTTTTCATTGAAATTGGCAGGCAAATTTCTCCACTAGCGTCACGGTGTCACGAGACACTGCGACGTTACGTGACGTCGTTGTTACTGTGCACTGTGATTGTGTGCAGTCTGTGTAAAGCAGAATTTACAGCACCTCAGCTGTTACTGATGTTCATTTGCAAGCCATGGCAAGGAACCAGGAATTTTTCTGCCCAATCCACGGACTAAACTGCATGATGAATCTGATACTTTTGATCTTGGAGACGAAATAAATAGAAAATTTATAGTAGTGTTTTTCTCAAAAAATACAAAACCACTTCAAGTAGCCAAGAATTTCTGGCATAACCATAAAAATTTCAAAAGCAATAGGAACACTTTGACATATGTTTAGCACTTTGAGACAATACAATTGTATCTGCTATGCTTAAAGCACTTGACAATAAATACAAACCCTGTCTTGCTTCCTCTTTGCAATGGCCTCTTGTACCCTCTTGACAATATTCAGGCAATGGTCCATTTTGCCAACTCCAGAGCTTCCCATTCCACTCGGTGCCTTGCAGCCGTGGGAACAATACAAACGTCTTGACATGACATATCACTTAGCAAGTAGCAAACAAAAGCACGGTTCAGAAAAAATTCTTTGGGCCTACCGGGTTGAAAGGAAGTTGAACTCGCCTGCAATGTTTTTCGAAATAGTCACCATCCATCCACTGCTCCAAAGCTTCAGTATAGTTCTCAGCAATGAGGGAATGCTCGTGGACAAGATGCTGCAATATAAAATATTCCCACATGCTTTCCTGGGCTTCTTATTGGTTTTGTTAGTGATAAAACATCACCTTCAAGCTTTCTCAATGCACCCAATAAGAACTATGCACCAAGACAACGACATGCCTAGGGAAGTTTGCACTCAGGCGTGTTTCAGCATCTGAGAATGCAAGTAAGCAACAAGTGAGAACGCAGCTGAGGCCACGTGCAAGCATGGCTGGTCCAGCCTGTCTAGGCGTGCACTTAAAACACACCTAACAGCGACAAGGGGCCCAAACACATACCCTTAAAAGCATTTCAGCAACAAATACGACAAATTTTGATGACTATAATTGGAAAGTGCATTTGAAATATTAAGTTTAGAGGAACAGGGTGCCAGCGAGAGTGTCATACCTCAGCTCTGCTTAGTGTGACAGCGGCACTGAGGTGAGGATGCTTCAGCTGCATTAACCGCTGCAAATAGGCAGTGATGTGGCTGCCCCCTAAACTAATTCTTTTGCAGTTTTCAGCATCAATTCGACCATTCAGCACAGGGATTACGTGAGTGGTGTGGTGACCAAATGAAAGGACCATGGCATTCTCTGAAACATAGAAAAACAACCCTTTGAAATGGCTGTTTTAATCTATGGTATATACAAAGCTCATAGAGTAAACCATGAAAAAAACCTACAGTGCTACAGAAAAGCAAAAGACATCAGAAGCCTTTTTTCTTTTTTTAACTGCCTCAGGATGTGTTTATAAAAGCAGCAATTGAATAGTAGCAATAACAATAACTAAATTTAGTTTTCATACAGAAAGTAGAACTGGGGGAAAAAGAAGTTACATATGAGAGCTTGATTGCCGTCACAGTCATGCCAACACAACTTGCACTTATTCTCTGATGTTCTCAGCTTCCCTACACAATCTCTTAATTTTGAGAAGGAAGCATTCCACTGCCCTCTGGCAATGGAAAAAGTATTGCTAGATATTTTGTATATCCGCTAATAATTTTTGATAAAACTGTTCACTTGCCAGTCACAACTTACTCTTCTTGTAGCTCCAGGAACCAAACAATTCACTAAATTTGTTTGAGTAAACATTTATTTTTCTGAGCGAACCAACAGTCTGCCGTCTAGTTTTTTTGTTTTTTTTTAAACATTGCGAGAAAAGACTTTATGCATTGGAGTAATAAAAAAGATACTGATAAATGGTAAAAACATAATTCGACTGTGACATTTAAAAAATCTGCTAACTTCAACGTACAGGTAAGCAAACCATATCATGGCGATGCTAGTAGTTTCCCTGCTGCTCTGTGTTTGTTCAAATGGTATTTGGGTGTTTATGGGTATTCTTACAGTTAAACACCGAGGCACAACCAGAAAAGGTATACAACCCATCAAATCTCCTTCTCTGTCTCAGAGACGCTTTCCTTTTTTCCATGGGAACAGGTCCCCAGACAAACATCTCTTCAATAACAAGCCCACGGGGCTAGATTTTCTATGCAGCCTACCAGAAGCCACCGGAGGGGACATGTGGGACACAACTGCAGCATTGGTGTCCATTTGGGATGTGCGTCCTCATTGATTGAACACAAATCCTAGTCCTAGACACAGCCCTCGTGTCACATCTCTGCCCCACGCTGACCTGTGGTAGGCAACATAAATATACTAACACTATTCGTTCTTGGTACTTTGCAACACAAGGAGAGGCATGCCCATAAAGTGGCAACATAGAGAATGTGCAGGGAATGCGTGATAGCGAGGCAGCCAAACGCGCCGTCATCGGTTGAGGATGGGAGGAAACGAAAGCATGTGGGTGCATTTGGAGTGTAAACAAACCCACAAGGTGCGTAGAAAGAAGACAAACTTACATGCCGTACGGCCTAGTTATCTAAGAGGTGTTGTCCACACCCACTGCGTCTCTAAGTGTAGACGAGAAGAGTGTGAGGACGAGAGGAAAAGAGGAAACCTGAGATTCTCAGCAAGGCCGAAGGCTATTTTGTGCACGAGCTTTTAGCAATCCAAACTTATGTTAGAAAGCAATTACCTGATTTCTTGGGGTGATTATGGTGAAGACTGAATAGGGCATCGATGCCATAGACAACCTGCGGTACTTGATAGCATTCAAACAGTAGTTCGGACATATCTGAAAACAAAGTAAAAGTGTATATTTAAATTGAATTTAGATTCCCTCCAGGGACGCCTTACTTTGACGATAGTAGCCTGGATTGGCGACAACCTCTGTCAGCACCATCGGATGGTCAACCCGACTTTCGGATGAAATGCCCAGATGGTTGAAAAATGTGGTCGAATATTTGCTCCTGCAAGGGGTTGCGGATTCGTTCGGAACTCAGATATTGGTTTTCACTGTCCGCAGAATCAAGCACAAACCTGGATGTCAAAATGACGTGACCACATTCCGATCAAACTGTGTCTTGAGGAGCCACCGCACAACCTCGATGTTGGCGATGTCATTCCCCACTTGGACTTCACTTTCCTGGCGGCGCACATCAAAAAGGCACTAGTTAACAAAACCGACAGCTTGGCAAGAAGCGGCGCGAACTATGGCTGTCTGCTGGTTTGCTTAATCGGACAATGTCTCATTGTTACGTCCTACAGATAGCTTTCCAGAACGACGCTTTATCGACAGATTTCTACCATAGTTATTACAGTAATTACCTGACCTAGAAAGCTCATACCATCTAGCCCCAAGTCTTTTCCTGGTTATATTCAGTCTGTTTAGCATATCAATGCTCCTCTCGATGTGACCTACGTTTCCTTCAATGGCGGTTCATTGAAAGTCGTGACGATTATCTTCAAGAAGTTTCTGGAACGGCATGTCTAACAGAAATTCAAGCACACAGGTTAGCTAATAAGTTAATAAACCTCTCACCCCTTGCGTCAAAAGAACTGTCCTTAGTACGAACAAAATGTCGCAAGCAGCTGCTTCCAAGGAGTGCTCCGTGCAGCCGCGCTTACCTTTTTCCCCCTTTGCTTGGCTGTGGACACTTTTGAACACCATGCGAGGTGACTCGTCAATAGCCCAACCAGCTCGACACTCGAAGGATCCTGTGAGTTTTCGCGGTTTTCAAATAAGTTTAACAGCCGAAATGCGAACGCCCAAAGAAAGTAGCTCTTACCATTGTCGATTATAATCGGGGTTTTCCGCAATCGTGTGCTGTCAGTGTAGGCGAAAAATTCGTCTGGCTCCTTATTAAGATTTGGGAGTGCGAACACGTTGGAGGAAGCCATGGAAAATTTCAGATTGAAGATCTGTCTTCCCGCTGGAAGCAGCCGAAAACTATTTGTTTACATATGCGGCCTCCATATTTGCCAAACGGATTGGATCGGATTCAGAAGA